CTGTATAAAAAAAAAAAAAAAATATATATATATATATATATATATATATTTGTATTTAGTTAATTGAGTAGTTAGTTTTTAAATAAGAAGAATAGAAAAAAAACAGAAACAGAAATAAATGCTGCAGCTACAGTAAAGCCAGCAAACACCCAGTGACCTGACCCTAAACCCTAAACCCTAAACCCTCGATAAACCCTAAACCCTAAACCCTAAACCCTAGATATGCATGTATATGTTGGGGTGTATACGCACCTTATAGCGGGTTTAGCTTTTGCTCTGCTTTTAAGGTAAGCGAGCCACACCTTAACCTGATAGGGGTCCCTTCTTAGTTCTTGTTCATATGCTATATCTGCATCTCCCCCTACAAGCTCATCTAGATCAATACCTTCTGTTTCTGCTGCTGCTGCTGCTGCTGCTGCAGCAGCAGCAGCAGCAGATGATGAGGAGGAGGAGGAGGAGGCATCTACTGCGTCGTCATTCTCCTTTTCTGCTGCTGCTGCTGCATTTGCTGCTGCAGCAGCACGAGCTGAAGCAGCACCCCCCCCTGCATCTGAACTCTCTGCTACAGCCATATTCAACTGAGCGGTATTTCAGGTGTATGTACACCTGGAAACCCCCGTGTTTACTCAGGTGTATGTACACCTGAAACGGAATCAAGGTAAGGATTTCAGGTGTATATACACCTGCGATCTCGCTACTTCTGGTGCATGTACACCCCAAATAGCACTCTTTCCGAGTTGTATACAGCAACACTCGAGCTATTTCAGGTGTATATACACCTGAAATACCAGAAAAATGAGGTGTACGTACACCGCAACGGTGCGGTGGAAACCACGCCTAATATCCCCCCCCTCCGAGCTGATCAGCTGTATTTGGAGTTTTCTGAAATTTATAAATAAAATAAATAAATATAAAAACAAAAAGATGAAATTTTTTTGAATAAATTTGGTGGATGCTGCTGCTCTGGCTGCAGAAGGCTGCGTGTATATATATTCATGTACACAGCTCCGCTCCCAGACGACAGAACCCTAATTTTTTTGTATATTCTTGAAATAAATACAAAATATAATATATTTATCCAAAAAAAAAAAGAAAACAAACATAAAAAAACAACGGATCGCACCCTGATTTATACAGAAACTTGAATGCATGCAGAACAACCAATGGGGCTGTGTGAGCACCCATTGCAAGAGTTCATAAATATTATAAAATAAAATAAAATATTTATATTTCTGTATTTCTTTTTATTATATTCTTTTTTTTT